ACCTAGTGGAATTGCCTGGGGGAGAGAGGAATGAATACCCTACTTCCCATCTTGATTGTTTGATTGTTGTTGTAGTGCCATCAAGCCTGTCCAGACTCATAGCAATCAAGTATAGGGTTTCCAAGGAGCTTCTGTTGAGTTTGAACACCTGACCTCATGGTTCAAACCAACCTTGCAGTTCAAACTGACCTTATGATCCAGTGCTTACCCTACAGCACCACACCAGGACTCCATAGGATCTAGAAACCTACTTTACTGCACCCTTGTTGTTAAAAGTACATTTCAGTCGGTTCTGACTCAGAGTGACCCTTATAGGGTTTCCAAGGTGGTGGAGCTGAACCACCAACCTTGTGGGTTCGCTGTCCAGTGCTTATTCTATAGTGCCACACCAGGAGTCCTGCACCCTGGGTAGTAAAAATCAGGCTGGAACTTAGGATGAGATGACTCTGTAGCTGTACCATGAGTCATCTTATTATCAAGTCCATGAATAGGGGTTGGGCCTTGACTTTTAAGAGCAACCAAAATGATGAGTCAATTGATTTTGCTATTGCAATTCTATTCTGGTCTTTTGTAGCCTGCTCTCATAGCACGGTGGGGGTAATTAATGTACACACTTGGCTCTGAACAGTAAAAGTAGAAGCAGCTCAATTAGCCCACAGCACCACACCAGCTGATCCTCAAACATCAACCTTTAGATGGTTAGAGCTCCAAAATCTGACATGAGTTCATTTGTCTATTTTTCTTACCCTCAGACACTTTTATTTATATCACTTGCTTGGTCGCTGTAAGTTTTAAAATTTGAAATCCCGTTCTTAAAACAGAAACCAAAATACCCTAGTTTGGTGCTGTGGGATAAGCACTGGACCGCAAATCCACCAGCTGCTCCTCAGAAGCTCTATACAGGGTTGCATAAGTCAGAACCCACTCGTTGGCACTTAACTACAAAATGTCAGAATGGAGTCCTTATGTAGCACCATGGGATAAACACTGGACTGCTAGCTGCAAGGTTGATGTTATAAGCCCACCAGCTGCTCCTTGAAAACTCTATACTGGTTGCACTTAATAATAACACAAAGTCAAAATGCCTTTCAGCCAGTACACAGGGGTGTGGCTGAATCTATTGTTTAAGCAGATGACCATTCTGATTAACCAGAGCCCAGATTGTATTATTTCTTAAAGATTTTTAATATAATTCTTGCCTAAAATTTGAAAATGTTCTTAAATTGACCATTATTTGAGTTGATAATTTTGATATTAAAGTAAATGAGAAACTCTATCACATATGGAGGCCATACATATATGTGAGGGAGCTTCAAACTCCATTACTTAAAATTCCATTTTCCACAAATTGTTTAAAGCCTTCTCTATACACACATACACAGAGGACTTTAAAAAGTTTGTGGAAAATGGAATTAAAAATGGAATTTTCACAAATTTTTTGAAGTCCCCTATTATAAAAAGATAAAGGCAAAGAATTTAAACCTTGTTAAATATAGCCTAAAAATAGACTGTTTTGTTATTGTTGTTAAGTGCCATCGAGTCGGTTCCGACCCATAGCGACCCTGTACAGGGTTTCCGAGGGTGTAAATCTTTACGGGAGTAGAAAGCCTCATCTTTTTCCCGCGGAGCGGCTGGTAGTTTCGAACCGCTGACCTTAAGGTTTGCAGCCCGATTCGTAACCACTACGCTACCAGAGCTCCTTAAAAATAGATTGTAGTCAAGTAAAATCATTTATTCAATGAAAAAAATCCTAAAATAGTTCCATATAATTCTTAAGACTAATCGTATTCATTCCATGTATTAAAAAATGTTACTACTTGGGTTGTAACTGGTAACTCAGTTTGAGATTAAATTTCATAATTACAAAATAAAAATAAAATTAAATTAAAAAGTAGAAGCAACTCAGGGAAGGGGAGAAATCCCAGAGCAGCTGAGAACCACTGGTAACAGTCATAAATTGTTTCTTCTTTGGAATTATCTATCTTGGGTAAATTTCTAGAGTAAATTTCTCTAAGGTAAATTTCATGAATTCAGATCTAAGAATAGTAACACTTTGAAGATAAAGAATGACAAAGAAGTCAGCTCCCCTATAAAAGGCATGTAGAGGGTCTGGGAGAAAGAGCTCTTTAAGGTGGATACAGAGGCTGCAACAATGGGCTCCAACATCACAATGGTTGTGAGGAGCACACAAGACCAGGCACTGTTCATCTCTGTTACATACAAGTCACTGAGTCTGAGTCGATTTAATAGCAGCATATAACAAGGTCAAATGTGAAAAATTCCTATGCAGGTCTGATGGAAATACAGATGGGAGAGTAAAGCTTACATAAAACCTCCAAAAAAAACTGCCATTAAGTTGATTTCAACTCAGATTCTGGGTTTCTGATGCTGTAAGTCTTTATGAAAGCAGAAAGCCTCATCTTTCTCGCTCGAAGCAGCTGATGGGTTTGAACTGCCCACCTTGAAGTTAGTAGTCCTGTGCTTATCATACACCACTACCAATACTTCTTAAAACTTGTTAAGTGCCATTGAGTCAGTTCCAAGTCATAGCAACCCTATATAGGGTTTCTAAGAGTTTAGATCTTTGCGGAAGCTGAAAGTCTCATCTTTCTCCAGCAGTGTGGCTGATGGGCTCAAACCACCAACTTTGTGGTTCACAGTCTATTGCTTATCATACTGCGCCACTGCGCTCCCGTCTTAAAACGTACGTAAGGTAAAATTACTGACTAGAAAGACTATACCAGGAAGAGGCTATCCACAGAAGACCACAAGCAGAGACACCTTTGCAGGCAATTATATAACAAAACCCTTATGAGCAAACACTTGGCTATTTAGAAATACATACCTACATGTTTGGTAAAGTATGGACTCAAAAATTATGGTCTGTAAAAATCCAGGTTGAAGGGAGATTAAAGTTATAGATTTGAACAGTTACCCTGAGGAATTATCAGGAAACATCATGTTCCCAGGGAAAAACCTTGCCAGTCAGTGTTCAATCAGATCAGCACTTAGAAATCTCTTTGGTGAGCATGTGTTGTTGTTGCTGTTGTGAAGTGCCATAGAGTCAGTTCTGACCCATAGCGACCCTGTGTAGGGTTTCCAAGGAGAAGCTGGTGAGATTGAACCACCGACTTTGCAGTTCAAACGGCTTTGCAGTCTGGCACATTAAACCACAGTCGCCACACCAGGACTCCTTGGTGTACATATACTAGACTTAAAATTGTTTCTGAAATCTCTAAGACCATCCCTCCCACTCAGGCATGTCACCACTAGTGGGTTAAGTTTTGAGGAAAAAAAAATTCCAATTTACCTTAAGTATGGTTATTTAAGGCAAAAACGCTAGGTACTTTCCATGATCATACCCTGGCTTGCCATTTATAATACATTCTTATTGTTAAGTACGGTCAAGTGGGTTCCAACGCTTAGCCACCCTGAAAAGGGTTTCTCAGGAATGCCTCGTGGATTTGATCTGTCAACCTTGGAATTAGCAGTCCAGTGCTTATGCTGTACAGCACCACACCAGGACTCCTTATAATACTTAGGTGGCATGTATCCTTTTTATTGATTAATTTTTTTAGTGGCATGTATTCTTAATGCAATATATATACTAGAACCACCTTGGGAAGCTTTAAAAGACTGTGAGAGTAAACACACTGCCTCATGAGAGGTGCAAAACAAGCATGGGACACAAGTTAAACTTTACAAAGCAAGAGACAACAGGGCACCTCTAATGCTCAGTGAAGAGTTTCCTATCTCCTCTTTTTTGTCACCCACCTCAATGACATCACTGAACATATTAAACTCAGCCTCCTGCCAGAGTAGGATGGTGATGGGAAATAGCATTTGGAGTGGAAATAAACAGTTGATAATAATCCATAATTGTTTTTAATCTGGAGGATGAGTCATCCTTCATTATTTCCAAATTTCTTCTATCATCAGCTGTTCATTTCTCTACTTTGAAAATCACCAGATTAACACTGCCAAACACAGGTAGGAAGTGATCCAAGAGGGCAGATCGAAAGCATCACATGGTGAGTGGCTATGAAACTGGGAACAAGAGGCTCCCCAGGAAAGACACTTTTTAATTGCAGCAAAGGCACCAATGTGTGAACCTAATTCACACTTTCATTATTCCAATCAGGTTATTTTCATATTAGTATAATTTTAGAACCAAACTTGATGGGGCATTATTTATTTCCTGGGAAATTCTGTCCATCTTTTCTAGGAGTACACAAGATATCCAAGTAGGTCTAACTCCAGAATTCATTTCAAACCAAAAAATTATACTCCTTTTACCGCTTACTTTTGATTCTTTCACATACGTTCTCTATTCCCTAAATCTTCTGTGCTAGAAATTTCTAAATAGAATGGCTAAACAGACATTTTTAATATGATCATAATAAGTGTGATCTTTTTAGATGTGAATTGTCTAAACCTAGCTAAGTCTACCTTGCCCATCTATCTATCAAGGTCTTTAGATCCCTTGTAAAATATAAGCTTGTTATTTTCTCTATACAATTTGAATTGTCTTTCTTAAGCTGATTGGGTTTTTAAACTCATTTTGTCTCTACTCCTACTCAGGGCTACAAATAGGAATCAGGTCCAAATTAGAGTCCAATTATGGCAGACAGGCTAAAGATGGAGATTCCAGACTATCCCTAAGAGTCTCTTAAAAACACAAAGCTTCAAACTTGGATTAGTAGCCACTTACTTAGATCAGAAGGCCATTCCCCAACTCAAATGTACTCTTCACATTTTCCTTAGATTATACCTATATAGGCAGCAAAGTACGAAACTAAAATGCCATCCACATAATTTAAGACAATCCATGTTTCAATTTGATATCTCCAGATAATTAAAACAACAACAAAAACATTTTACTATCAGTTGATTTCCCCTTGACTTGACTTTGCAGGCACAATCAGAAATGTTTGCCACCAGTGAGCTCTCAGATGACTGGTGCACATAACCTGGTGATCACTGGAGAGTAGGGAAATGTAGTCTTACTTTTGATTTTGTCACTGCATTTGCAAATGAATCAAGATATGCTGGCATAGTCCCAACCCTCCTAAAACACAGATAAAATGTCAGTTTGTGACAAGTGTCCCCACACTCAGTCATGCTAGATGATGGAACTGGGTAGGCGGTGGTGAAGGGAAATGCTTGTCACAACTTCTGCAAAGTCTCTTGCTATTAGCTGAAATGAGTGAGCACCAGCTCCTGGCGGATCCGGTCAGCTTCTAAGTCCAGGGTTTCCATGTGCTCATACTCTTCCTCAGGGGGCTGTTCCACAGGTCCCGTCAGTGGGGAGGACCAAACATCCATTCCATGCTCCAGGGAGATGTTGTGGAGTACACAACAAGCCAAGATGATGTGGCTGGACTTCTCAGGTGAGTACTGCAGGGCTCCCTTGGAACCACCTAGGCAGCGAAATCGGGAGCAGAGGGTTCGGAAAGTCTTCTCAATCACATTGTGAGTCACTGAATGGGCCATATTATAGCGATATTCGGCTGGCGTTTCAGCTATATGAAGTGGGGTCATGAGCCAGGTGCGCAGAAAGAAGGAACTGTCACCTGTGGGGCCCAAAGAAACCGTAATTGATTATAAGTGGAATACAAACAAGGAGGAGCAATCCAGAAATATCTGCTGGGAGTGGAGTAGAAAAACACAATGATCTATTGCAATGTCACTTCTCTGATGCCAAAATGTGTGGAAATCAAATCAGTGTAATGTGTTCTATTTAATTCCGTTCCATTTCAACTGTAATACCTTTCCTCTCTGAACCTAACCATCAGGAGCTACACCAGAGCTCACAAGTTTAACAGCACAGTCCTCCAGACTGCCCAAGACGTCAAAAACCTGCCACAAGCCTGTGGGCTCCCTTAGTTCTTAGGAATCAAGGACAAAGACCAAATTCTTTGGGGAAATTTCTAACTTTACCATTAAAATTTCAGTTCTGGTGTTGGAGGAGAATACTGAAAGTGCCATAGACTGCCAAAAGAACCAATAGATCTGTTTTGGAAGAAGTATAACCAGAGTGCTCCTTGGAGGCCAAAATGGCTAAGCTTCGTCTCTCCTACTTTGGACACATTGTCCAGAGAGAACAGTCGCTGGAGAAGGATGTCATGCTGGGTAAGGTGGAGGGTCAGAGAAAAAGGGGAAGACCCCTAACGAGATGGATTGGCCAGGTGGCATCATTGATGGACTCAAGTGTGGCAGCGGTAGTGAGGTTGGCCCAGGATCGGACATTGTTTCGTTCTGCTGTGCAAGGGGTTGCTATGAGTCGGTTCCGACGCGATGGCACCTGACAACAACAACAACAACTACTCCCTTGTTGTTATTGTTGTTGTTATGTGCCGTGGAGTCGGTTCCAACTCATAGCGACCCTGTACAGTGTTTCTGAGGCTGTAAATCTTTACGGGAGCAGAAAGCCTCATCTTTCTCCCTTGGAACAGCTGGTAGCTTCGAACTGCTGACCCTGATGTTCGCAGCCCATTCGTAACCACTACATCCCTTAGGCTCAATTAAGTCACTAAAACAACTCACAGAACTCACGGAAAACACTATACTTACTATCATAGTTTTATTATAGTCAAAGGATAACAATGAAGAGATACATAGGACGAGGTCTGGGAAAGTTCCAATGTGGACCTTCCAAGTTCTAAAAAGGAATAAGATAAGCAATGGACTGTGAACCACAAGGTCCATGGTTCAAGCTCAACAGCCACTCGCAAGAGAAAGATGAGGCTTTCTGCTCACCCAAAGATTTAAAAATAAAAGGCCTAGGACACTCCATACAGGGTGGCTTTGAGTCAGAATCAACTCAAGGGCACTTAGCAACAACATCAATCCTCCCACATGCATGGAAGTCTTTCACCAACCAGGAAGCCCACTCCCTTGCCTTTATTAGGGTCTCATTACAAGAGGTCCTGATTGATTGTACCTTGTCCTTCCCTAAGGCCAGCTGAAATCACAAGGTGGATCTTTCTGGCCAGACCAGCCCCAACCCATGAGGTGCCTAATTAAGCATAGTCCCTGAGGTGTGATCTGGAGCTCATTCCAAGGTTTAAGCATTAGCTCCTAAGGAACTGCCCTACAGGCTACAATATCTGGTTAATGATAAGTTCTTTAACCCCACAACAACTCAACAGGAAGTCAAGATACACAAGAAAACTCACGAGGAAAAACTATGGTGAAAAGAAAGTATACCAGTGTTACTGCAAAGACAGGAGTCTTGGGAAGGAATAGTCTTGGTTAAAATCAACAGAGATAAAAGCTGGCTGAGAGCTAAAGAAAGCCAAGTCTGAAAGAATGCAGGAAGGAGGTGAAGCTGCTGGATGAAAAAAAAAATAAATGTCTGGGATTTGTCAAACTCAGAGAAGAAAAGGATTAGTAAAAATGATCACCAAGCATGCCAACGTTCAAAATCTCTAAGGAGCAAGAGCACAAGAATTCTGCCAGGAGATACCAAAACACTTGTGGGGAAACTCTCCCATTAAAATTTCAGAACTGCAGAGGACTCCACAGACAATACCATTTATGTTCTCAATGCTAATAAGAATGAGTTACAAGTCCTAGCATCTGTGGCAGACATCAGAACTCAGGTGCTCTGCCTTTCAAGATAATTACACTCACAACTTGTCTATAACCAAAAAACTGACAGAGTGCCATCTGAACAAGTAGAACATAAATACAACGATGCAAATAGTAGTGAGTAACAAGGAAATGAAATCAGGAGTCAATTAAATAATACACACAAGGCAAGTGACTTCCTTATCAAACTATCTTGGGAAGTGCTAAAAACAAAACACACACACACACCAAGTAGGGTGCAATGTCCTACTAGAGCAGCGTACAATGTTTCCATAGTTTGTCATGACTCACTACGTCTGGCAGATAAAACGTCTCACACAGAAGCATAACCTTTGAGCAATCTCAAACAGCTTACACAATGGCTATGCTTCTGATCCACTGTCTAGTTCAGTGAGTGCTCAGAGTGTGCTAGGCACTGTTCTAAACATCTTGTTGTTAAGTGCTGTCGAGTAGATTCCAACCCTTATGGGACCTTACATTTCCAAGAAGTAGAGTAAGTAACTAATCAGTCACTGTTAACAAAATCTTCAAATTTTATGTTGAGCTGAATTTTTCCCCTAAAGACAATCTATTTTGTCTAATTGTACTCATTCTAATTACTGAATTTTAAGAAACTTGGTGTTATATTTACCAAACAATATCCCCATGGGCCACCCCTACTTCTCCCTACTCCACATTTTTCATCAGTCTAAGTCCTGCCTAAGCACCAAAATCCATAAACTGAGTTGGTACAGATATCATTGCAGTCCTAGAAAGCAATGTTGAGACCAGCTCCATCACCTGCTTAGTGTGTAACCTTGAGTGTTTCAACCTCAGTGTAGCTCAGACCTCCCAATATAAAACAATGCTAATAACATCTCTCTATTTTGGTTTCAGTGTAAAACACTGAACTCCATAGATTATGTTCAATAAACAATTATGTTATCAGATTTTGTGTTATTTTATTTTTTAACCTTTATCTAAAGGACCAGAATAGAAACTTGAGTATGGATCCAAAACTCCACTGACTTCCACCTTGTACATAATAATGGAAAGATAGTATCAACAATTTACTGAACATCTACTATGTAGCCGGCACTAGGCTTGTTGTTATTGTTAAGAGCTGTCAAGTTGGTTCCCACTCATAGCGACCCAGTGTAGGTTTCCCAGGAGATGCTGGTAAGTTTGAACTGCCAATCTTGTGGTCCAGTGCTTATGCTACAGTGCCACACTTTAAAAATATTCTTATTATCTTCATCCCAACTTTGTACAGTCAGCTATTAATGAACTCATTTTACAAGTGTATTAGCTATCCTGTGATATGTCAGGCAAAGGAAGGCATTAATCAGGAAATGCTAATGCCAAACTCAGAGTCACTAAAACAATGATGGTGCTGGTTATGTGCCGTGGAGTCAGTTCTGATTCATAGCGACCCTGTACAGGGTTTCCGAGGCTGCAAATCTTTACGGGAGCAGAAAGCCTCATCTTTCTCACACAGAACAGCTGATAGTTCCAAACTGCTGACCCTGAGGTTGTAACCCTGATGCGTAACCACTAAGCTACCAGAGCTCCTTAAAACAATGATACATGTATAACTAATTTAATTGTCACAGAAATTTCCATAAAGCAGATATTATTACTACTTCCATTTTACAGAAGAGGAAACAGAAGGTAGAGAGGTCAAATAGCCCGTCCAAGTTTACACAGGAGATATATTACTCCTTAAACTGCAGTAGGCTTGATTGTGTGCTCAAACATTCCTGTCTAAACTTGGGAAAGTCAGTTATTAATTTTTCAGGAATTTAGTGAGCCAAGATTTCAACTCTATTATTCATTTTAAATTAGGTAAAATTTAAATTTAATAAATTATTTTGAAAACAAAGGTAATAAATACTTAAAACCCATCACTTCTTAGTTATTCCATTTATTATTATTTGTGTTCTTGAGGTTATTTAAATGTAGTGGAGTGGGTTATGAGAGTTGGGTTACCAACTGCAAGGTCAGCAGTTCGAATCTACCAACTGCTCAGCAGGAAAAAGATGAAGCTTTGTGCTCTTGTAAAGATTTATAGCCTCAGAAACACTATGGAGGGTTGCTATGAGTCAGAATCCACTCCACAGCACACACCCACCAACCACAACCATGGTTGTTGACATGAGTCAGATGCAACCTGATAGCAACTGGGTTTTTGGTTGTTTTTTTTTGTTTATGGTGAAAATACTATATAATAATATGTATTAATATAATGGTGTGCAACTGTGCTTATGGTGAAAATGCTATGTAATAACATGTATCAACATAATGGTGTGTTACTGTGCATGTCTTTCTAACTCAAGGTTCAGTGATATGTCAGTAGCTCTAAATTGATTGTGATAGAAGTATTTATACCATGAAAACCTGCAATTGCTACAAATTAAGCCTTTTTTACTTACAGAGCCAGTTAGACATTGATCAGCACACCTAGTAGGGTCTAACCCTTTAAATATGGAAACTGGGGAAGTGGTGGAAAGATGAAGTGAAAAACATTTTTTAAAGTGTGGTTAAGGCTTGAAGAATGTGCCCTTTGGTTAATTATAATATATTACTGAGTGTTTTGGTGCACATCTCCTTCCCCTGCCCGCAAAAAAGAAAACAAAAAACAAGAAGGAAATTGAAGCAAATACTGTTGGATGATGATGCACGGAGGAGATTGTAATCATTGCAATGAAATGATGGTGTAAAGCCAATGTTCTACCATGTGAACTATCATTTAGCTCACAATAAAAAAAACCCAGAAAAACCAACAATGATGCAATGCTGTAAAAGCGAATAAGATAAGCATTTAAGTTGTACCTCAGAGTTGGTTCAAACTCATAGTGACCCTTTATTGGGTTTCTGAGGTTGTAAGCACTTAGGAGGAACAACAAAACGTAGATGTTAAATGATATTGGCTAAGGTTTCTTTAATAAATGGTATGGAAAGCTACACAGAACAGCTAGTTATGGTAAACCTGTCAATATTA